GAGCGTTGCAAACGAGCTAACGGGCAACTGAAGAGCAGGGAGCAGGGCACTACTTGAGGTGACGAAAAGGTGGTTGTAGGTGAGAGGTCTCTCCCTCTCTCTCTCTCACGTTATCAAAGTATTATGGCCAATTTTGATCAGATTAACATATTTTTCAATCAAAATCTTCAATTGGGATCTTTACAAAACTTAGGGGACCTCATCAAAATTTACCATTTAAAAGTTTGTATAGGATACCCCCACAAATACAAACAAAGGGTCAAGAGTGCCACATTCTTGAGAGAATAAAAGATGTGATGTTGTGCCGCCATGTGCTTTTCTTGACATTTATTCACGGGTGTTAGTGAGTAAATGTTGAATGTGTTAGTGAGTAAATGTTGAATGAAGCCGTTATATTATATTAGTGGTGTTATGTAATATAATTATTTAATAAAAAAATTGAAAAAATAGATAAAATAAATCCCTTCTTTTTGACATAAATGTGGTTATATATTACGTGAATGACAGTTATTAAATTTTATAAAACTTACTTGTCTAGTTGTTATTAGACAATTATATCAAGTAATATCACTTACGGGTGGAAGCCGTAATACCCAATATTTTCTCGGATTTTGTGATAAAGACAAAAAAGCTTGAAGAATAACAAATCAGTCAAACTGAAAGTGAGTGGAAGTAATTAACATATTATACAAGTTCAGCATAGATCACAAATCTTGGTCAATGCTGTCGAAATTTGACAAACCAGTGCTGGGAACCAGAAACCGACATGTCTCTATTTGTGTGAAATGGCCACATTGTTGATAACAAACCCTCGTCGTCTACTGCTGACATTTCGTTCATAATTAGGGGATTAATCGAGTCAAGCCTCTCAAATTTTGAAGCAATTTTAAATTTGACTCGAGCCATAAACAAAATATTCTAAATGCCTAATTCAAAAATTTGACATAGAACACCCACAAATCAAAATCTACGCACAAATCTTAAACCCCAAAACCTCCAAATCACAGCATAACATATATATATATTCTGGTATTAGTTTTTAGGTGAGATGGATGCTAATTCATCCTAGGGTTTGAATTGGGGATTGAGGAAAGCAATGTTGGTGCGTAAGGTTGGAGACAGAAGAATGACTCCATGGATTTAAAATAATGGAGAGAGAGAGATCCCTTAAACCAGTAAATAAATATGTTGATGTCACGTAAGTTTCTAGACTGTTATAAAGAGATTCGAATTTTAACCTTTTTTAAAACCGAGAGATCCCTTAAGCACGTCCTTTTCGACTTGTGTCTTGTCATGTTAACTTAGGATGCACATAATCACCTATTATCCGTCAACAGGACTTCTCTTGCAGAACTTGAACTTAAGATCGAGGGATGAACTACTGAAATCCTGTCACTTGTGTTTTATGAATCTGTGTTATCAGAAAGAATCTTGCGGATATATGTACGAGGAGCTAATGTATGTCATTCTGGCCTAAGTACTTGCCGTGGATGCTAAAGATGCAATCATTGGAATGATCTCTTTCTCTCTCTCTCTCTCTCTCTCTCTAAAACAGACTGACAATGAAACTAAACGAATTGCCTAAACAAGCACCACAGAATATAACTATATGTATGTAGTTCTCATACAAAAGCATATTAGAGTTCAAGCAAATGAGAATAACAATCATATCCAGCACCAGTTGTCTCGAAGTTCGAATTATAATTGAATGAAAAACGAGCATCAGCCTTGGTATACTAAATTTAGGACAACAAACAAATCTCCAAAATCTTAATAAAGAGATATCGACAGCAAAATACCGACGTAGGGACACTTCAAATTACACCACTTGGTAGTTTTCTGTGGATAGCTGTGCTCTCTGAGAGAACTTGGGAGCAGTTCCACCTCTCAATGGCAAGATATTGAGAACCTGCAAAATATTTATCGTCAGTTATGTACATAAATACCTAAAACGAGAACTAAATCAACTCCACGGAACATGGTACTAGCATTTAGGCACACATCTGATTAAATGCAAAACTAACAAAGTGACTACAGAAAGTAAAAGACCATATGAAATTATCACTTTCAAGGACTAAACAGATGCTTCCGACAATAATTGAGTCTTCATTTCAACATAAACCATGTACAGCAGAGTCGCCAGAAATTCGCCATTTCATGCATTCTTTGGATCTATCTTATCACAATCTATGTAATTCCACAGCATTGGTTAATTCTGTTTCCCCACTCACCGTCCTTTCCTTTTGTTAATAAGCCCATTCCGAAAATCATCATCTAAGAAGTTTGAGTCAGATTCAATAATGCATCGCTTCAATTCCAAGGGCCAGATTACAGCCAAAATAACGATAGTTTAATTTGAAGCTAATTTCTCAAAATAGTTCTCATTGTATATACAAAGCCACCAGAGAGAAATCAATTGTTTTCCCAGGGAGACGGGTGTGGATCTCAAATGAGACTACATCAACCATACAAGCAGAGCAATCTCCCTAAAAATTTAAATCATTGGCGAGTTTCCAATCAGTTGGAAAAAAACATGCAAATAGCTTTAAAAGTCATTGGGTGAATTATGAAATCAATCTCACAGGCATTACAGTATATAAAAGTCATTGGGTGAATTATTAAATCAATTTCACAGGCATTACAGTATATAAAAATCCACTCAGAGCTTTCATGCGCAGTACTTCTATAATATTGTCGGTTGAGAAAATTGTTAAAAAACCATTTTTTCGAGAGACAGAGAGAAGTGAACCTTTAGGTCACTGAAGGTATTTGAAGCAGTAAAACGCACAGAAATTGGAAAGAAGACGGACGAATCTGCTGGAGGAACAACAAACTCCATTGATCCACTGTCAAGGTTCACAATACCAAATCAATACCCAAACAAGTATGGTAAACTGCCTAGAAAATTAGGAAATGAATACACATAATTATAGCCAAACCTGCGGTTTGAGTTATCAATGAGAAGTATGGACCATTCCAAAATGGAATTTCTGGAGTCATACCTGCATTGAAAAACATGCAGATGATAAACACCCATGTCCATGAAATGAAGAAGAGTATATTTAGAACAGCTCAACGTCGAGCACACTGTATTAACCTATAACAGGATCATGGTAGATGCTTCATTTTTCCCCCAAAAATGAAACCACAAAGAAATATGTTCGTGTTTGATTTCTTGCTATAATTGATAATTTGATAACCACTTTTTGTGTAGTTGAAGGAGTGTCATACACGATATTTTTAAACAAGTTGCATAACATGAGCTGACTAGGCAGTACCAGGCCTATTTCCTAGAGGATAGTGTCTCAAACTTAAGAATTTTGTGGAAATTCTTTTTTCCAGAATTTTGAAGTGGCACGTAGAGACAATTAAAAGGCAATNGTCTATGAGGTGGAGGTTTGAGAGTGGACCGTTGAGGAGAGAGCGTTGCAAACGAGCTAACGGGCAACTGAAGAGCAGGGAGCAGGGCACTACTTGAGGTGACGAAAAGGTGGTTGTAGGTGAGAGGTCTCTCCCTCTCTCTCTCTCACGTTATCAAAGTATTATGGCCAATTTTGATCAGATTAACATATTTTTCAATCAAAATCTTCAATTGGGATCTTTACAAAACTTAGGGGACCTCATCAAAATTTACCATTTAAAAGTTTGTATAGGATACCCCCACAAATACAAACAAAGGGTCAAGAGTGCCACATTCTTGAGAGAATAAAAGATGTGATGTTGTGCCGCCGTGTGCTTTTCTTGACATTTATTCACGGGTGTTAGTGAGTAAATGTTGAATGTGTTAGTGAGTAAATGTTGAATGAAGCCGTTATATTATATTAGTGGTGTTATGTAATATAATTATTTAATAAAAAAATTGAAAAAATAGATAAAGTAAATCCCTTCTTTTTGACATAAATGTGGTTATATATTACGTGAATGACAGTTATTAAATTTTATAAAACTTACTTGTCTAGTTGTTATTAGACAATTATATCAAGTAATATCACTTACGGGTGGAAGCCGTAATACCCAATATTTTCTCGGATTTTGTGATAAAGACAAAAAAGCTTGAAGAATAACAAATCAGTCAAACTGAAAGTGAGTGGAAGTAATTAACATATTATACAAGTTCAGCATAGATCACAAATCTTGGTCAATGCTGTCGAAATTTGACTAACCAGTGCTGGGAACCAGAAACCGACATGTCTCTATTTGTGTGAAATGGCCACATTGTTGATAACAAACCCTCGTCGTCTACTGCTGACATTTCGTTCATAATTAGGGGATTAATCGAGTCAAGCCTCTCAAATTTTGAAGCAATTTTAAATTTGACTCGAGCCATAAACAAAATATTCTAAATGCCTAATTCAAAAATTTGACATAGAACACCCACAAATCAAAATCTACGCACAAATCTTAAACCCCAAAACCTCCAAATCACAGCATAACATATATATATATTCTGGTATTAGTTTTTAGGTGAGATGGATGCTAATTCATCCTAGGGTTTGAATTGGGGATTGAGGAAAGCAATGTTGGTGCGTAAGGTTGGAGACAGAAGAATGACTCCATGGATTTAAAATAATGGAGAGAGAGAGATCCCTTAAACCAGTAAATAAATATGTTGATGTCACGTAAGTTTCTAGACTGTTATAAAGAGATTCGAATTTTAACCTTTTTTAAAACCGAGAGATCCCTTAAGCACGTCCTTTTAGACTTGTGTCTTGTCATGTTAACTTAGGATGCACATAATCACCTATTATCCGTCAACAGGACTTCTCTTGCAGAACTTGAACTTAAGATCGAGGGATGAACTACTGAAATCCTGTCACTTGTGTTTTATGAATCTGTGTTATCAGAAAGAATCTTGCGGATATATGTACGAGGAGCTAATGTATGTCATTCTGGCCTAAGTACTTGCCGTGGATGCTAAAGATGCAATCATTGGAATGATCTCTCTCTCTCTCTCTCTCTCTCTCTCTCTAAAACAGACTGACAATGAAACTAAACGAATTGCCTAAACAAGCACCACAGAATATAACTATATGTATGTAGTTCTCATACAAAAGCATATTAGAGTTCAAGCAAATGAGAATAACAATCATATCCAGCACCAGTTGTCTCGAAGTTCGAATTATAATTGAATGAAAAACGAGCATCAGCCTTGGTATACTAAATTTAGGACAACAAACAAATCTCCAAAATCTTAATAAAGAGATATCGACAGCAAAATACCGACGTAGGGACACTTCAAATTACACCACTTGGTAGTTTTCTGTGGATAGCTGTGCTCTCTGAGAGAACTTGGGAGCAGTTCCACCTCTCAATGGCAAGATATTGAGAACCTGCAAAATATTTATCGTCAGTTATGTACATAAATACCTAAAACGAGAACTAAATCAACTCCACGGAACATGGTACTAGCATTTAGGCACACATCTGATTAAATGCAAAACTAACAAAGTGACTACAGAAAGTAAAAGACCATATGAAATTATCACTTTCAAGGACTAAACAGATGCTTCCGACAATAATTGAGTCTTCATTTCAACATAAACCATGTACAGCAGAGTTGCCAGAAATTCGCCATTTCATGCATTCTTTGGATCTATCTTATCACAATCTATGTAATTCCACAGCATTGGTTAATTCTGTTTCCCCACTCACCGTCCTTTCCTTTTGTTAATAAGCCCATTCCGAAAATCATCATCTAAGAAGTTTGAGTCAGATTCAATAATGCATCGCTTCAATTCCAAGGGCCAGATTACAGCCAAAATAACGATAGTTTAATTTGAAGCTAATTTCTCAAAATAGTTCTCATTGTATATACAAAGCCACCAGAGAGAAATCAATTGTTTTCCCAGGGAGACGGGTGTGGATCTCAAATGAGACTACATCAACCATACAAGCAGAGCAATCTCCCTAAAAATTTAAATCATTGGCGAGTTTCCAATCAGTTGGAAAAAAACATGCAAATAGCTTTAAAAGTCATTGGGTGAATTATGAAATCAATCTCACAGGCATTACAGTATATAAAAGTCATTGGGTGAATTATTAAATCAATTTCACAGGCATTACAGTATATAAAAATCCACTCAGAGCTTTCATGCGCAGTACTTCTATAATATTGTCGGTTGAGAAAATTGTTAAAAAACCATTTTTTCGAGAGACAGAGAGAAGTGAACCTTTAGGTCACTGAAGGTATTTGAAGCAGTAAAACGCACAGAAATTGGAAAGAAGACGGACGAATCTGCTGGAGGAACAACAAACTCCATTGATCCACTGTCAAGGTTCACAATACCAAATCAATACCCAAACAAGTATGGTAAACTGCCTAGAAAATTAGGAAATGAATACACATAATTATAGCCAAACCTGCGGTTTGAGTTATCAATGAGAAGTATGGACCATTCCAAAATGGAATTTCTGGAGTCATACCTGCATTGAAAAACATGCAGATGCTAAACACCCATGTCCATGAAATGAAGAAGAGTATATTTAGAACAGCTCAACGTCGAGCACACTGTATTAACCTATAACAGGATCATGGTAGATGCTTCATTTTTCCCCCAAAAATGAAACCACAAAGAAATATGTCCGTGTTTGATTTCTTGCTATAATTGATAATTTGATAACCACTTTTTGTGTAGTTGAAGGAGTGTCATACACGATATTTTTAAACAAGTTGCATAACATGAGCTGACTAGGCAGTACCAGGCCTATTTCCTAGAGGATAGTGTCTCAAACTTAAGAATTTTGTGGAAATTCTTTTTTCCAGAATTTTGAAGTGGCACGTAGAGACAATTAAAAGGCAATTATACCATCTGCTGCAAGAATAACCATAACTGGAGAATCCCAAAAAAAAAAAAACAATTTCCAGAATAGACCTTGAACATCAAACAGAGCCAAAGGATGAGAAAACTATTCCATGCACCACAACCTGTTATCCTGAAAGCATATACTTAAATGCATGCAACATATACCTGAACTTACATGTGAAAACCTAATATTGCTCTGCAGAACATGCTATTAATACATTTTCTCAATTCTACAAGTTTGTATAAAGGTATGGAAAAGCTTTAGAGAATGGCATCCTGATCTAATAATAACTATCCTAATAAAATGATATCAGTATCAACTTCAGTCTAATTCCAAAAGAATAAAATCCTCCCTCCAAGACACACAGTCACAATCATAACAACCACAAAAGTAAAACCAAATACGTTGGAACCTCACCTCCACTCCCCATCAATTTGTCTCACACTCGGCGCCTCTCTAAGAGCTGGAAGAGGTACCGAAATGACAACATTTTGCAAATCAAACATTGAAGAAGCTTCATACTCAATGCTTACATAAGTTTCATTTCCAGAAACAGAAGGCCAGCAGTTAACTGCAACATAATTGATACAAATCAATGGAAAAAACAAATAATAAAAATTACATAACAAAAAGATTAGTGGCATGCAATTGTAATGCACACTCACTCGTCAATGGCACAACTGATTCATCTACACTCTGCATTCTCCACTTCAAGAGACTGACACCATCACTAGATTGACCAGCTGGAAATGGCCTGTTAGGATCTTTAAGGCCTAGAATATTTTCATTCGAAAACAAGTCTTTGTTGATGTTAGGGTGCGTCTTGAAAAGGATGCCTGGATTACCCCCAGTCTCAATCTGAAAGTAAGGCACATTGTGACATGCATGGCATTAGATAAAATGAGAATCTACATCTGCAAAATGTAGTATTTGAACAAGAGAAGATGAACTTCCATTTATCAAACCAATTATTGGTTTTTCATGGTCGTGAACCCTCAAAGACACAAACACAGCACAATTTTTTCTGCTAACAAACTGAAATGATTATTCTTAGACATGGGCCACACGGCAAAAACATAAAATGTGGAGTCTTCATTGAGTGTCCATGGCATGGATATGCAACATTTTCCCTCCAAAATAAAAAAATACAGACCCATGCACACACAGACCCCCACACCCACATTGCACATAGAGAGAATGGGGGCCTTCAAATAAATTCTATATTGTGTAGAGTCTGTGGACCATATTTCTATCCAAATTCCCAAAAAATGTGATAATTCACAATCATTCATGTCATTGCTAGAACATCTGGTCCAATACAGCATTTTGCAAATGGTTGAGGAATTGATGGTGGTAGAGACCATTTATTTAAGTTCTCTTTATACATATAACTGGGATTCAAAGTTCAAACCTGTTGTATCTACTTAAATTTGACTCACATGAAACACCCATATATATATATATATATATATAGAGATATAGAGAGAGAGAGAGAGAACACCTGAACTTGGATAAGCCCATCTTCTTGATTAAGGATTTGGAGAGACAAGGTTCCCTGAACATCAAAGTTGCTGACCCCACCATCTCGCTTCAGTGACACATTGAGCTTCTCTTCAACAGTCAATGTGACAGGATCAGTTAGTGGTGGAGCAGCTGGCTTGGACTGACCAACACTGGGGCGCACATCCTCGACAATCACTTCACCCTCAGCTTTCAACGATTCCAAAAACTGGTTCGCCCTTTGTGTTTTACCTAGCTGCATACCAAGCCCTTTTGGAGGAGCCGTAGCAGATGCAGGTGGACGGCCTGATGGTGCATATGCATATCATCATTTTGCATCATATGCAAAAAAAATTTAAAAAAATAAAAAACAACTAAACTTAGATATGGACAGGGGCATTACAGCATTAATAGGTTTTCTTAATTTGTTACAACTTTATTCTAGCATAGTTGAGCCAAAAAAAGGGAGATAAAAACTTCAATTTTATTTCTTCCCACACAAACAGAAAAGTCTTTGCATATGCAAACAATAAAAGATTCATCTTACAAAAAAACACAACAGGAAAAATAGGTACTTCTAAGAAATTCCTGCCAAAGGTAGATCTCAGGGTACCATATCATTGTCAGTCACAGAAAACCGATGTATACTTGCATAGCCTATACATTGTACTGCAGGTCTACAATGAAAACTAAAATTGATATCTAGCAACTCTCAGAAATGTTCGTATTTTCGGGGTGGATATAATATTTTTTGCAAAGGGATGGATGAGAAAGAGGACATCCTTTTGTATGGTAGTTTCAGAACATCACTGCAACCATTTTGGTGGCGAGGGGTAGTGAGACTCCCACCCATGTCCTATCGGTGATTAGGAGGATCCCAGTTCCGCAGGCTATGTCTCAGAAAGAGGACATTGCCTTAATACAGCAATGCACGAAATTCAAACCTAATGAGAATTTCAGATACTAAACACACATTTATCCAGTTGCATTGTAGGATGATAACTAATCTGAGTCGAAAGCTCATACATATAAACAATCGTATTTTATATTTCAGAAGATAAGCAGCAAACAAACCTTTGGACTTGCTTGAGAAAGAGTCCACATCAGTGTTTAGTCCAAACCCAGAGCCACTTCCAGTGCTCGATATGTTCATATCGCTACCAAAACCACTTTCAATTCTTCCGGAACCCATTGATTGTAAAGACATGTACCCTCCTTTCTCACCTCTATTCTTATCAATCTGCACAGTAATTGCTCACCGTTTCATCATATAAAACAAAGTCTACAAAAACCAACCAAAAAGTGATGAAAAGAGAGGAAAACTATTCAGGCCAATTTAATGCCCAAACAATTACCTTGCTTTTGTCAATTTCAATGGCTTTCCGTTTCATGATATCCTTGGTCTCATTGATCTTGCTCTGCAACACCAACTTGTGCAACCTCTCCTCATGACTCTCCATCTCACAATACTGCTTCACTTGGGCAATGGTAACGTTCTCCTTGTGCCCAAGGGAGATAACCTCATCAAATGCAAATATCAACTCAAAAGATGTCTTGCAAATGCCCTCTTCATCTAGAGAATACGAATATTCAGGTACCTATGCAGGGTTAAGTAATCACATATTGAAAACCATAATCCCCGAGTACAAAACACATTTTTTAAACATTTTCTTGTTTTATTTTCACCACGTACATCTTTTCACCTATCCGAAAAACTCAACTTTCCCTTTTTTCCAAAAAAAAAATATCAGAAGCAACAAGCTGCCAATATCCAGTGGATGCAATGATATAAGGCCAAATGGATGCAAATATCAAGAAAACCTTTGGTTCAATACAACTGAAATCTTTGTAAACTAACACAAAGGATACGATTTTGGAGAGCAGCCTCAGTGTCTCTAGATCTTCCAAAATGTTACTCTGTTTATTTGTGACAAGCAGCAAATACAGAGACTCTATTGGCTGATATACATAGCGTACATTTTCGGTCTCAATATAAGTGTGCTGTTTTCCTGTTCCAACCAACTTGGGGAAAGCTGCGAGAAGCCCCTCAATTCTGATGCGAGACATATCAACGAATTGCCTCGAAACAAGTGCTGTAAAAAGATATGAACTAAAAGAGTTAAAAACTGTGAATTAAAGTGGTCCAATAATGACCAAGCGAGAACAACACTTAAAATGACAAAACAAAGTAGCAGACGAATTAGCAGGATACATTGCAGTCAACTTTTGCAAGAGAAATTCAAGTCATTTTGCTATAGCTAATGCCAACAATAACTTGAAGAAAACAAAACCATTTTACGGATAAACTAGAAATATGAAGGGTAAAAGCATGTCAGACAAAAGTGACAGAAACTAGACAGTAAATTCACAAAGTAAACCATCAGTAGGTGAAACATACAACCTGCTTGTCTCACCCCATACCTCAAAAAAGCAGTTTCTAATACCACCATAACCAAACAATAATTATGAAGCAATTCATGTAAAAACAGAGTAAATATGATCAGACAATGAAATAACATTGCAATGCAACTGAAAACACACAGCATAGAAGTTTTATTTCACCCAATTTGGTCCCCAATCCTGAGTCCTGACGGCAGCCTAGATCCAGAACTAACTTGTGGCATTATGTGCAAAAAAGTGAGTGCCCCCGAACTCACAGATACTAATCCAAGAATTTTAATAATGTACCCAATGATTTCTCAAGTATTGGCTCCAATACAAGAGATGGACCCCAAGAAAGCTACGGTGAGTGCCATAAACTTTTGTATATAGGACAGAACACAAAAGAGATCTTTATAGGGATTGGGTTAGCTAGGCCTTGATGCTTACTTGTTTACAATTTAGGTGATCAAATATTAATGCCCATATTATAGATTACAACAGAGTAAAACAACAGAAATCCCCAAGATCCGCACCTTTAATATCCACAATAGGTAAGAACGACACAAAATTGTAGATGGGTGTTCACAAATTAATGCTTCAAGATGTTGTAATTAGAGTTCCTGATGTCTTGAGACATGAGGATAATTTAAAAACTGTTCTCCTCAGTAGAATGGAGCATTGCACAGGGAGAGCCAAGTTGGCAGAGGCGAGGACATAAGTAATTGTAGTTGTTAAGTTTCTTTTATCTGTGTCTTACCAGTCATCCTGCAATCATGTATTAGGGTAATTAAGACCTGAGAAGAAGCAGCTTTTTCTTGTAACCAATTTTGAATCCTAGCTTGTTAAAAGCTGAGTGAATTTCTACATATTTCATTGATGTTCCCCTAGTTTATGGCATATAAGGGCTTCAAATAACCAAACCTTGGTGAGTTAAGTATCAAGTATCTCTCTCTCGCTCTCTCCCCCCCCCTTTCAAATACACGCAATGGCAATAAACATTTACGAGATCGGGTAGAGACTTGACCCTACAGTAGTGTGCAACCTCCCACGGATTTTTCTGTAGGCCAACATGGAACTGGATTAACCAAGAATGTTGTACTCAAGATAACACAAATAGCACGTGCAACATGTGCATGATTAACCTTGACAAGTGTATAATATGGTGATCAAGAAAATTTAACTTATTTTTCTATGAACACTAAATATTTTCTTATAGAATAAGTTAACATCATTCAGGATAAATGGAGAACAACAATAATTAACATTTTTGGACGTTAACAACATTTACACCAAAAAGAAGAATAGTCAAGTAATCAAACTTCCTATTTACAAGGAAGAAGATATGCACGCGGCTGCGAGTAATTTGTTTTGCATTTCCACCATTAAACACCGACCTATAAATGGTTTCCATGATTTATTTTTGTGAGGGAGGAGGTAAATTTTCGATAAAGGATAACTCTGAAACTAAAAGCAGTGCCACATATCAGTTCATTGATGTCAGTCTGAGAAACGATTCACCATGCTTTTGGTATTACTACCATTGCATTTCATGTACTTTCACCTTGGTATCAGTACTGTATATGTGTTGGTTGTCATGACATTTAAATTAAATTCAAAGTTATTTTCTCCAATCGAGACTACAAAGTTCTTTCTGCTTGTTCAAACTGACAACATTTAGGATTTTAACAACCTTTATCTTGCTATGTCAACAAACTCAATATAAAAAGGAGCTGTTAATTGCTTTTTTCCGTTTTCCATGTTTTTGCACATGCAGACGACACTATATCAAGAGAAATCATTAAATCTATGCAAATCCAATTTTCTTTGCAGAAATCAAATATTATACCAACTTATAAAAATGAGTACGGAACTTACCTTTGCCAGATTTGCTTATAATAGAAGCCGCTAAAACAACCTGCAATATAAATATAAGCAAATAATTAGCAAAAATTATAAATAGCAACAATAAAAAATGACCATAGATCAAAGCTGTTGTCGAAATTCATAATTTTGCAGCAAAAAATAAAATAACTTCGATCCTATTAAAATTTGTATTAATGAATTAACAATACCTATGACGTTTAAAGTAATTAAAACAACCACAAAGGAGGAACACAATTACCATTTTGATCCACTTGAAATGCAACAGCCACGGATTTAAAAGCTAAGTAACAACAGGTCGTATGGCACACCTGTATTACGAAAGCAAGTTCAGGATCACAAAGACATCAAAAATACTGGTTTAAAAACCTCCACGAATCAATGCGCAACATCAGCAACTGCAAGTGTAAAAGTATAAATACATATAAAGAGACTTGGATCTAAGTGATACACATCATAATTGTTACAGACTTCAAAAATGATAGCAATATATATAAAGCTGTTAATCTAAGTTTACGAATTTCATCAGTATGAATGAGATTGTGATTGCAAATTAACAAACAGATCGCAACAAAAATCTAGATCTAGCACGGATTAATCAGGCCGCGGAGACATGAACCTTAACGGATAGAGAGTGAAAACTGTTAGAGAGAGAGAGAGTGGGTTGAAAGATTGAGACGTACATGAAAAATGAAGATCTGCGGCAGCAGAGAATAAGCGGAGGTAGGGATTTATTTGGATGTTCTGTACGCCATTTGGGTTCGATTCTTCACATTGAACTCGGGTCGGACCTTAACGATAGGAGTTTTGTCATGGGTCCGGTCAAATCTCGGTAACTTTTTTTTTTAAAGTGAAAATTGGAAGCGAGTCTCCTCTATTTTTTTTTATCTCAAAAATATTCCTAGTGTTAAATTTGGTCAATTATAGAAAGTCATATGTTAGATGTTTGAGATATATATGATAACAGATTGTTCAATTTTTTATGAAAACCAAATATATCATAATTTAATGCTNTGGCACACCTGTATTACGAAAGCAAGTTCAGGATCACAAAGACATCAAAAATACTGGTTTAAAAACCTCCACGAATCAATGCGCAACATCAGCAACTGCAAGTGTAAAAGTATAAATACATATAAAGAGACTTGGATCTAAGTGATACACATCATAATTGTTACAGATTTCAAAAATGATAGCAATATATATAAAGCTGTTAATCTAAGTTTACGAATTTTATCAGTATGAATGAGATTCTGATTGCAAATTAACAAACAGATCGCAACAAAAATCTAGATCTAGCACGGATTAATCAGGCCGCGGAGACATGAACCTTAACGGATAGAGAGTGAAAACTGTTAGAGAGAGAGAGAGTGGGTTGAAAGATTGAGACGTACATGAAAAATGAAGATCTGCGGAAGCAGAGAATAAGCGGAGGTAGGGATTTATTTGGATGTTCTGTACGCCATTTGGGTTCGATTCTTCACATTGAACTCGGGTCGGACCTTAACGATAGGAGTTTTGTCATGGGTCCGGTCAAATCTCGGTAACTTTTTTTTTTAAAGTGAAAATTGGAAGCGAGTCTCCTCTATTTTTTTTTATCTCAAAAATATTCCTAGTGTTAAATTTGGTCAATTATAGAAAGTCATATGTTAGATGTTTGAGATATATATGATAACAGATTGTTCAATTTTTTATGAAAACCAAATATATCATAATTTAATGCTTGAATTACAACAAAATCATTGGCCTATTAATTCAATTTCAAATCAAAAGATTTCATTAACAATTCAAATTCAAATTCAAACATATCTTCTGTCTTTTGTCCATTCCCATCCTCACGCACTCAAAACTAAAGAAACACACACACAAACACAGACTCTCTCTCGTTTGAGCTCACAAATGAGAAGAACATTGAGATTTTTCTAGTTGACGAGCTTTGAGAGATGTGAAGAGTTTTTCATATTCAAGTGTATGACTTATCGGTAGAATTTTCAAAATCAACAGCGAGTCAATGTTACTTATCGGTATTCTTTTGCTTAAATTTCGATAGAATTGGTTTTTTTTCCTTCATTTTTACTCAAATTCAATGTTACTTACCGGTATTCGTATTGCGACGTTCTTTACCGGAGTTCTTTTTTTAATTTTGTTTTTGAAATTAGGTTCTAATTNTCCTCTATTTTTTTTTATCTCAAAAATATTCCTAGTGTTAAATTTGGTCAATTATAAAAAGTCATATGTTAGATGTTTGAGATATATATGGTAACAGATTGTTCAATTTTTTATGAAAACCAAATATATCATAATTTAATGCTTGAATTACAACAAAATCATTGGCCTATTAATTCAATTTCAAATCAAAAGATTTCATTAACAATTCAAATTCAAATTCAAACATATCTTCTGTCTTTTGTCCATTCCCATCCTCACGCACTCAAAACTGAAGAAACACACACACACAGACTCTCTCTCGTTTCAGCTTACAAATGAGAAAGAACATTGAGATTTTTCTAGTTGACGAGCTTTGAGAGATGTGAAGAGTTTTTCATATTCAAGTGTATGACTTATCGGTAGAATTTTTAAAACCAACAGCGAGTCAATGTTACTTATCGGTATTCTTTTGCTTAAATCTCGATAGAATTGGTTTTTTTTTCCTTTATTTTTACTCAAATTCAATGTTACTTACCGGTATTCATATCGCGACGTTCTTCACCGGAGTTCTTTTTTTAATTTTGTTTTTGAAATTAGGTTCTAATTGTATTTTTCATGTTACTGTTTGTGTTTTATTGAAATTAGTATTGATTTGTTAAATTTAATGTTTTATGTTACTATTTCTTTTTCTATATTACTATTCATGTTACTATTTTTGTTGAATATGTTACTGTTTATATTACTATTATTTTGAGCATGTTACTGTTTTTGTTGAGTATGTTACTACTATTATTTACCTAAATATTAATATTCAATGTTACTATTTTTTTTTGAATATTACTATTTTTATGTTTGAGTGATACTATTTTTGTGTTTGAATTTGAGAAAGANAAATTCAAACATATCTTCTGTCTTTTGTCCATTCCCATCCTCACGCACTCAAAACTGAAGAAACACACACACACAGACTCTCTCTCGTTTCAGCTTACAAATGAGAAAGAACATTGAGATTTTTCTAGTTGACGAGCTTTGAGAGATGTGAAGAGTTTTTCATATTCAAGTGTATGACTTATCGGTAGAATTTTTAAAACCAACAGCGAGTCAATGTTACTTATCGGTATTCTTTTGCTTAAATCTCGATAGAATTGGTTTTTTTTTCCTTTATTTTTACTCAAATTCAATGTTACTTACCGGTATTCATATCGCGACGTTCTTCACCGGAGTTCTTTTTTTAATTTTATTTTTGAAATTAGGTTCTAATTGTATTTTTCATGTTACTGTTTGTGTTTTATTGAAATTAGTATTGATTTGTTAAATTTAATGTTTTATGTTACTATTTCTTTTTCTATATTACTATTCATGTTACTATTTTTGTTGAATATGTTACTGTTTATATTACTATTATTTTGAGCATGTTACTGTTTTTGTTGAGTATGTTACTACTATTATTTACCTAAATATTAATATTCAATGTTATTATATTTTTTTTTGAATATTACTATTTTTATGTTTGAGTGATACTATTTTTGTGTTTGAATTTGAGAAAGATAATTATTGTAAAGCATGCTATTGTTTTTGTTAAACATGTTACTATTTTTGTTGAACATGTTACTATTGTTATTTTTTAAAAATATTAATATTGAATGTTACTATTTGTTTATGTTTAAATGTTACTTTTTTGTGTTTAAAATGATATTATTTTTTGTGTTTAAATGATAAATTTTTCTTTTTGTTTTTGAATGTTACTATATATATATTCTTAATTTATATATAGATATAGATAGATATGAGAGAAAAAAATTTTTAATATCAATAAAACTTTTAAGATTTAAGAGTTTTTAATTTTTAGTTTTACTTTACTTTTAAAGGAAAATGATAGTCTGGTAAAATTGACAAAAAACGGACTTCATAACAAATAAGTTTTTTTGGCGGACTTAAGTTCAAACAAGTCCATTTAGGGAGACCGGTTTCTAAATTTCTCTTTTTTTAATCACCATATTATCGATTAATAAACCAATCCATCAACACATGGTCTTATTCAATAGGAAATCTATCAAACTTCTCGCTCTGTAATTAGAAATTCACGGTTTGGAGTCCACATTGGTTGTTGACCGCTATACTAACTTAATTAGGTTCATTTGTGATAAGTAATGAAGGCGATCAGGGACCTCATGATCCCATCTGTAAGGGTTTATCAATGTGATNCAGCAAAAAATAAAATAACTTCGATCCTATTAAAATTTGTATTAATGAATTAACAATACCTATGACGTTTAAAGTAATTAAAACAACCACAAAGGAGGAACACAATTACCATTTTGATCCACTTGAAATGCAACAGCCACGGATTTAAAAGCTAAGTAACAACAGGTCGTATGGCACACCTGTATTACGAAAGCAAGTTCAGGATCACAAAGACATCAAAAATACTGGTTTAAAAAGCTCCACGAATCAATGCGCAACATCAGCAACTGCAAGTGTAAAAGTATAAATACATATAAAGAGACTTGGATCTAAGTGATACACATCATAATTGTTACAGACTTCAAAAATGATAGCAATATATATAAAGCTGTTAATCTAAGTTTACGAATTTCATCAGTATGAATGAGATTGTGATTGCAAATTAACAAACAGATCGCAACAAAAATCTAGATCTAGCACGGATTAATCAGGCCGCGGAGACATGAACCTTAACGGATAGAGAGTGAAAACTGTTAGAGAGAGAGAGAGTGGGTTGAAAGATTGAGACGTACATGAAAAATGAAGATCTGCGGCAGCAGAGAATAAGCGGAGGTAGGGATTTATTTGGATGTTCTGTACGCCATTTGGGTTCGATTCTTCACATTGAACTCGGGTCGGACCTTAACGATAGGAGTTTTGTCATGGGTCCGGTCAAATCTCGGTAACTTTTTTTTTTTAAAGTGAAAATTGGAAGCGAGTCTCCTCTATTTTTTTTTATCTCAAAAATATTCCTAGTGTTAAATTTGGTCAATTATAAAAAGTCATATGTTAGATGTTTGAGATATATATGGTAACAGATTGTTCAATTTTTTATGAAAACCAAATATATCATAATTTAATGCTTGAATTACAACAAAATCATTGGCCTATTAATTCAATTTCAAATCAAAAGATTTCATTAACAATTCAAATTCAAATTCAAACATATCTTCTGTCTTTTGTCCATTCCCATCCTCACGCACTCAAAACTGAAGAAACACACACACACAGACTCTCTCTCGTTTCAGCTTACAAATGAGAAAGAACATTGAGATTTTTCTAGTTGACGAGCTTTGAGAGATGTGAAGAGTTTTTCATATTCAAGTGTATGACTTATCGGTAGAATTTTTAAAACCAACAGCGAGTCAATGTTACTTATCGGTATTCTTTTGCTTAAATCTCGATAGAATTGGTTTTTTTTTCCTTTATTTTTACTCAAATTCAATGTTACTTACCGGTATTCATATCGCGACGTTCTTCACCGGAGTTCTTTTTTTAATTTTGTTTTTGAAATTAGGTTCTAATTGTATTTTTCATGTTACTGTTTGTGTTTTATTGAAATTAGTATTGATTTGTTAAATTTAATGTTTTATGTTACTATTTCTTTTTCTATATTACTATTCATGTTACTATTTTTGTTGAATATGTTACTGTTTATATTACTATTATTTTGAGCATGTTACTGTTTTTGTTGAGTATGTTACTACTATTATTTACCTAAATATTAATATTCAATGTTATTATATTTTTTTTTGAATATTACTATTTTTATGTTTGAGTGATACTATTTTTGTGTTTGAATTTGAGAAAAATAATTATTGTAAAGCATGCTATTGTTTTTGTTAAACATGTTACTATTTTTGTTGAACATGTTACTATTGTTATTTTTTAAAAATATTAATATTGAATGTTACTATTTGTTTATGTTTAAATGTTACTTTTTTGTGTTTAAAATGATATTATTTTTTGTGTTTAAATGATAAATTTTTCTTTTTGTTTTTGAATGTTACTATATATATATTCTTAATTTATATATAGATATAGATAAATATGAGAGAGAAATTTTTTTAATATCAATCAAACTCTTAAGATTTAGGAGTTTTTAATTTTTAGTTTTACTTTACTTTTAAAGGAAAATGATAGTCTGGTAAAATTGACAAAAAACGGACTTCATAACAAATAAATTTCCTTGGCGGACTTAAGTTCAAACAAGTCCATTTAGGGAGACCGGTTTCTAAATTTCTTTTTTTTTAATCACCATATTATCGATTAATAAACCAATCCATCAACACATGAGCTTATTCAATAGGAAATCTATCAAACTTCTTGCTCTGTAATTAGAAATTTACGGTTTGGAGTCCACACTGGTTGTTGACCGCTATACTAACTTAATTAGGTTCATTTGTGATAAGTAATGAGGGCGATTAGGGACCTCATGATCTCATCTGTAAGGGTTTATCAAGGTGATTTCTACACATTTTTCTTTACCCTCGTCTCTTTTTTTTAAAAAAATAAAATAAAATTCCACTTAATCTCGTGTAATAGTTATTGAGTATTAAGTTATTGGTAGTTGTAAAACTTAGTAAAAAGAGCATTGCTTTGCTGCCCAATTAAAACCCAATGTAAAGTTATGAGAAAATATCACGGAATTGGTAGAGAATTAACAAAAAAAAAAACACGTCATTGGTAGAAAGTGTAAAATGAGCTAACATTGGTAATGACATAAAAAGCATCTCCAACATTTAAGAGAGATTTTCTTTAATCTTATACCCAAATTCATCCTAACAAATTGAGAGACTTATATTTTTATTCAAATCAAGAAAGACTTAAATTTTTACTCAAATTACTAATTGTCAAATTTCATTATTATTTAAAAAATCAATAGTCACATTTCATTCTTCTTTAAATTTAAATTGTCTTTTGTATCAAATCAAATTTTTAACTCAAATTTTAGTTAAAAATCGAGTAAAGGTTATAAATGCTCTAAGACCTTTTCGACTCTTTACTAAAAACTAAACTCAAATTTAAATTTTGATAAAAATTGCTCAACAAATATTTTAAATATTTGGCCCAAATTTATAGTAAATGATGAAAACCCTTTTATTGATCCAAGTTGAGGGAACATCAAATATTTTTTCCTTTTTTTTTTCCGATGCTATGGAAATTGAAATTACAATCGTCTAATAACTTAAATAATACTAACTAAACAATGATTTGCAAGAGGTTTAATTTCATATAGAACTTCAGATCTATAAAATTTGTATCTTTTTTTCTTGTGTCGCAGCAAAAACGGAAGAAAAAAAAAAGGTTAATGATGCTTTTTCCTTTCACAAAAATAATTAAAATCACTATGCTCATTGGAAAATGAGGCAAACTTTTGGATTTTGTAGATGGTAACAATGAACTCTAATAACTGCATGGATTTTTCTTTTCTTCCGATGATCAGAGATGTTTAGGTTAACTTATATACATTTTGACTAATCACTTTTTTAGTTCACCCAAAAACAAGTCATTCCGCACTAGAACTAGGGTATTTATGGAGAATAAAATTTTTATAATTTGACCTTAAAGAATTGTCAAAATTCGAATTCAGGATATCTAAATTTATAACTCGTCTCTGTTACTATTTGAATTATCTTTAAAATTACTGCATCAACTTTCTATTCTGGCAACATAAAAATTTTAGCACTTTTTATTTCGTAAAATATGCTAAAATTTGTNTAACTCGTCTCTGTTACTACTTGAATTACTTTTAAAATTACTGCATCAACTTTCGATTCCAGCAACATAAAAATTTTAGCACTTTTTATTTCTTAAAATATGCTAAAATTTTTATGTTGCGAGACAAAGATTAATTATTCCAAATCACCTATGTAGTATGCTAGTTATTAAATTTTTTTGACACGATTAACTAACTGGGGATGCAATATTACTATTTTCAAAAGTCTAAGAAGCATTTTAAAATCTTCATGTTAAAGCACCAATCGACCCAAAAAAAAAAAAAAAGTTTGCATTAATCATCGCGGGTGAATGACATTATTCCAATGATTAATTCTCTTTGCATTGTAAATGAATCGTCTTGGGTTATGTTATGTTTAAATTAATATTGTATAAAAATATTTTCCTTTTGAAAAAAAAAAACGATACGAGAAATCAAAATTTTCAGAATATTTCGAAATATTAATTTTTTTAAATTAAAAAATGCACAAATATTTTATTTATTTAGATGATAGAAATAATATATCGAAATAATATTTTGTTTCTTTTGTCTGTTTAAAATTGCCTGATCCCAGTCTCCAGCACCATACCCGTTGAAATACGTTAGCGTTTACCTCCGTGTTTTTAGGTTCAGTCTTTTTTGGTCGTCTCGCTCTCTCTCTCTCTCTCTTCAGTCCACTTGTGTGGGTTCAATCTCAAGGGCTTTACTCTTCCCTCGTGACTAAAGCTCAAAGCGTAATAACTGTATCAATATTCTCTCCATCTCTGAGCGTCTCCCTCACTCTTTCTCTCTAAAAAACCCAGTAGATCTGCAGTCTAACACAATATAACATTAGCAGCTTCCGATTTTGAAGGAAATTTCACGTTGAACTAGGGTTTTTGGAGGCCATACTACTCAGAACTTCTTTTTGCTTCAGTTTATATGTGCATTTTTTTACTGTAAATTTGAGTTTAATCTCATCGAGTAGTTGAAGATTTCAGGCTGAAGTATCAGCTTCCCATTTCTGAAGAATTTTCACTGGACCTAGGCATTTTGGGGGCCGTACAAGGTGATATCTTGTAGTTTCGTTGTACAATCTGCTTTTTTGGAGCGAAAACATAAGTTTTGCTCAGATTTATATATGTACTTTTCACTGGTAGAGTACGAGTTTTAACTTCTAGTGCAAGTATCTACCTCTCCTTTTTGAAGAAATGTTTGTTTAGCTAGGGTTTGAGATTGCAATGTGATATATGGTTGTTTGTTTGGACAATCTGACACATTTACGTGCCAAGATACTGGAGTTTTCTTACATTTTGTGTGCATAGATCTTGTAATTTGAGATCAGGCTTATTATATAGTTGAAGATTTACTTGAATATGGTATCAGCTTCTAAATTTGAAGAGATTGTATGTGAGGCTATGGTTTCGAGGCAGTAAACATGGAATCGTGTGGTTTCTGGCAGAATTATTACGTGAATCTAGAAAACTATGTTGTTTCTGAACTATATATGCGGAGTTTGGATCTAGTTTTGGTGTAGGAGAGTGATGTCCTGAGCAATGGCGCTGAAACTTCCAGCTACTGAGGCTGCCAAGGTTGCAATCCAGTCTATTGGATGTGGATACGATATTGCGTTGGATTTGAGGCTCAAGTATTGTAAAAGGGATTCGACTAATACACGTTTGATTGATATTGACGATGATCAGGGCAGAGAGATTGTTCTTCCTGGTGGAATTTCAATCCCTAATGTGTCCACCTCGATAAAATGTGATAAAGGGGAACGGACGCGGTTTCGGTCTGATGTTCTTCCTTTCCAGCAGGTATAATTAACTCTTAATTTCATAGTTTTCTTCTTTGATTTGATTACCTTTATAAAATTTATTTTCATTTTGTTGTCCCCCCTTGTGCAAATTGGCTACCTCATTAGCCCATCGTACATTGAAGGATCTTTGAATCATGGCATTTGCTTCATTTGTTTTCTGTTCTTAGATAAATGTTTGCTTTGGCCATTCAGAGCTAGAAACTTTTATTTTTTTTTAGTCACATGATCAGGGTGGGTGCTCATACAGTTATATGGGTTTGATGGTAACTGGCAACTCTCTGAATATTGACTTCTTGTTGAAGATATATACTTATACTTCCCCGCCAGGTGTTAGATTGTTCATTAATGAAATGCATGCAGATTTAGAATATGAGCTTTATTTAATATGATAGGACTTCATTCTTTTAAATGTCATTTTCTGGGTAATTGGCAAAGCAAAGGTTATGTATGTGTGTTGTTCACAGTATTAGCATTGGCAACTATATTCAAGGATCAATATATCGTTTCATTACCACCAAAAAGACCGAAACGTTTTGGTTTCATGGAAAGCAATATGAATCAGTAATTGTGTATCCAAATTTTTATATTTTGAAATATTTTGGAATATTTAGAGGTGTTTTGGGATTTTTTACTTATGTTTCAGAATGATTTGGAAATAATTTTTGCATTCAATTTTTTGAAAGTTTACAAAATATGTTCGTATTGTTTCCGTTTGCAAACTGACCAGAATTTTGTTGTTACCTTAAAATTTGTTTGGTTTATCATGAATTCGAACATTAGTATTGCTGAATCATCATTTGTGCACAATAACTATTAATTTTCTATTGGGGTCACAATATTCTTAATTTTAACCCTCCAGATGTCAGAGCAATTCAACCAGGAAATATCATTGACTGGGAAGATTCCTTCGGGCCTATTCAATGCTATGTTTGAGTTTTCAGGCTGTTGGCAGAAAGATGCAGCCAACACTAAAACCCTGGCCTTTGATGGAGTGTTCATCACACTTTACACAGTTGCACTAGAAAAATCTCAGATGATATTGTGTGATCATGTGAAGAAAGCTGTACCATCGTCATGGGAACCTGCTGCATTGGCAAGGTGAATATTAAATTGTTCATACAGACATTTTCTTAGTCATGATGACATTAGAGTTGTTTCGTATCTCAATCTAAGAGCTTTTATAATTCTGGTTGTGGAAGAACAGTTTTTATCCATCATTTTATTTGTTACTCTTTATCCATGCATTTCGTTATGTCTTGTGCGTTGACATTTAAAGTTTTGAGATTGAGTGGTGACATATGTGTTGAGTGGGTTGCTACATGGAGTTAAGCAGTTTTGGTCAATGCAAACAAACATGATAGCATGATTAGGAAAGAGATTTATTAATTGGGGTTCATTACACAAATACCAGTTTACTTTGTTTAGGCAATGGAGATGTCATCTTTTGAATTTTGAGCCAGCAGTTCAATGCAAACTTGCTTGATCTATGCTCTTTCTTTGCTTCTGCTGTCCTCATAGCCCCAGTCCAGGTGTTGGCCTCCTGTACACCTATCCAAGCCATCCGTAGGAATTCTGTCAAATAATATATCCACTACTGAGGCTGCACCTTGTTGATGGGTAGTTTTTCTTTGAAGATCTGAACATTTTTCTTATTTTGCAGAAATCTGTGTCACCCTTTTGCATATTAAGTTACCCTTTTGCATGTTAAGTACAAAACCATGGACCTTTTAGAGTGGAGATCGGTTCACTTGATAATAACGGTTGGGTTATTTACATATATACCATTTGATTAGCATAGAATCATCTGTTTTATTCTTGCAGGTGATATGTTTTCTGCATTTACGTTGTGAAAAAAATANATAAAATGTGATAAAGGGGAACGGACGCGGTTTCGGTCTGATGTTCTTCCTTTCCAGCAGGTATAATTAACTCTTAATTTCATAGTTTTCTTCTTTGATTTGATTACCTTTATAAAATTTATTTTCATTTTGTTGTCCCCCCTTGTGCAAATTGGCTACCTCATTAGCCCATCGTACATTGAAGGATCTTTGAATCATGGCATTTGCTTCTTTTGTTTTCTGTTCTTTGATAAATGTTTGCTTTGGCCATTCAGAGCCANGCTACCTCATTAGCCCATCGTACATTGAAGGATCTTTGAATCATGGCATTTGCTTCATTTGTTTTCTGTTCTTAGATAAATGTTTGCTTTGGCCATTCAGAGCTAGAAACTTTTATTTTTTTTTAGTCACATGATCAGGGTGGGTGCTCATACAGTTATATGGGTTTGATGGTAACTGGCAACTCTCTGAATATTGACTTCTTGTTGAAGATATATACTTATACTTCCCCGCCAGGTGTTAGATTGTTCATTAATGAAATGCATGCAGATTTAGAATATGAGCTTTATTTAATATGATAGGACTTCATTCTTTTAAATGTCATTTTCTGGGTAATTGGCAAAGCAAAGGTTATGTATGTGTGTTGTTCACAGTATTAGCATTGGCAACTATATTCAAGGATCAATATATCGTTTCATTACCACCAAAAAGACCGAAACGTTTTGGTTTCATGGAAAGCAATATGAATCAGTAATTGTGTATCCAAATTTTTATATTTTGAAATATTTTGGAATATTTAGAGGTGTTTTGGGATTTTTTACTTATGTTTCAGAATGATTTGGAAATAATTTTTGCATTCAATTTTTTGAAAGTTTACAAAATATGTTCGTATTGTTTCCGTTTGCAAACTGACCAGAATTTTGTTGTTACCTTAAAATTTGTTTGGTTTATCATGAATTCGAACATTAGTATTGCTGAATCATCATTTGTGCACAATAACTATTAATTTTCTATTGGGGTCACAATATTCTTAATTTTAACCCTCCAGATGTCAGAGCAATTCAACCAGGAAATATCATTGACTGGGAAGATTCCTTCGGGCCTATTCAATGCTATGTTTGAGTTTTCAGGCTGTTGGCAGAAAGATGCAGCCAACACTAAAACCCTGGCCTTTGATGGAGTGTTCATCACACTTTACACAGTTGCACTAGAAAAATCTCAGATGATATTGTGTGATCATGTGAAGAAAGCTGTACCATCGTCATGGGAACCTGCTGCATTGGCAAGGTGAATATTAAATTGTTCATACAGACATTTTCTTAGTCATGATGACATTAGAGTTGTTTCGTATCTCAATCTAAGAGCTTTTATAATTCTGGTTGTGGAAGAACAGTTTTTATCCATCATTTTATTTGTTACTCTTTATCCATGCATTTCGTTATGTCTTGTGCGTTGACATTTAAAGTTTTGAGATTGAGTGGTGACATATGTGTTGAGTGGGTTGCTACATGGAGTTAAGCAGTTTTGGTCAATGCAAACAAACATGATAGCATGATTAGGAAAGAGATTTATTAATTGGGGTTCATTACACAAATACCAGTTTACTTTGTTTAGGCAATGGAGATGTCATCTTTTGAATTTTGAGCCAGCAGTTCAATGCAAACTTGCTTGATCTATGCTCTTTCTTTGCTTCTGCTGTCCTCATAGCCCCAGTCCAGGTGTTGGCCTCCTGTACACCTATCCAAGCCATCCGTAGGAATTCTGTCAAATAATATATCCACTACTGAGGCTGCACCTTGTTGATGGGTAGTTTTTCTTTGAAGATCTGAACATTTTTCTTATTTTGCAGAAATCTGTGTCACCCTTTTGCATATTAAGTTACCCTTTTGCATGTTAAGTCCAAAACCATGGACCTTTTAGAGTGGAGATCGGTTCACTTGATAATAACGGTTGGGTTATTCACATATATACCATTTGATTAGCATAGAATCATCTGTTTTATTCTTGCAGGAGATATGTTTTCTGCATTTACGTTGTGAAAAAAAGANACATTTTCTTAGTCATGATGACATTAGAGTTGTTTCGTATCTCAATCTAAGAGCTTTTATAATTCTGGTTGTGGAAGAACAGTTTTTATCCATCATTTTATTTGTTACTCTTTATCCATGCATTTCGTTATGTCTTGTGCGTTGACATTTAAAGTTTTGAGATTGAGTGGTGACATATGTGTTGAGTGGGTTGCTACATGGAGTTAAGCAGTTTTGGTCAATGCAAACAAACATGATAGCATGATTAGGAAAGAGATTTATTAATTGGGGTTCATTACACAAATACCAGTTTACTTTGTTTAGGCAATGGAGATGTCATCTTTTGAATTTTGAGCCAGCAGTTCAATGCAAACTTGCTTGATCTATGCTCTTTCTTTGCTTCTGCTGTCCTCATAGCCCCAGTCCAGGTGTTGGCCTCCTGTACACCTATCCAAGCCATCCGTAGGAATTCTGTCAAATAATATATCCACTACTGAGGCTGCACCTTGTTGATGGGTAGTTTTTCTTTGAAGATCTGAACATTTTTCTTATTTTGCAGAAATCTGTGTCACCCTTTTGCATATTAAGTTACCCTTTTGCATGTTAAGTACAAAACCATGGACCTTTTAGAGTGGAGATCGGTTCACTTGATAATAACGGTTGGGTTATTTACATATATACCATTTGATTAGCATAGAATCATCTGTTTTATTCTTGCAGGTGATATGTTTTCTGCATTTACGTTGTGAAAAAAAGAGAGTAAAAATGGTGATGCATTAATGCACAAATTGGATTGTTGTTTTTTGTATCACCTCGTGTTGGTTTCTCTAATGGACTGGACAGGACCCTTAGATTTGACATTTATTTGCACACACTGGCTTCTCATGAACTTTAACCCACATTCTCAGGCGTAATACTCTAATTTTTACTGCTCCAAGCAGTGCTTCTGTCCCGCTTTTGTTTTGCAGCTGCAGTGTTCTGATCTACTAACTGAGTAATGATGCTGGATGTCTAATGTTTTGCCTCTAAGGGTGCATGGGAAAAGGATTCTACCTTGGCACCCAGATTTGGAATTGCACCAATGCCCTGACAAAATATTAATCTTGAGAGTTGTACTTAAGTCATGTTGAACTTTTACTGCTCTTTAAGAGTTGCTTGTTTGCCAGATGGGATGTCTCTGGATTGGTTTAAATTGGTGTTCGAATAGGTTTTGGAGTGGATTGAACCAAATGTTGGATATCTTGTTCATATTTCAATTCAGGATTTGTTTTGTTGGGAAAAATAATCTCAGATTTACTCATTAAAGTACACTTCAAACATATTCTATGGAGGTGAGATAGTGAGAAAATGCATTGAAGTAATTTCAAATAGCTTAATTTTTGTTGTTTGTCTTTTTTGGTTACGTTGTGTAATGGGACAAATAGTATGTGGGGCAGGTGTTGTTAGTTATCCCACATTTGCAGAATAAATAGTCTATTTTGAAGTTATCCTTTCTAGGCCTAAGCACGGGCAAAAGTGGGATACAGCTATCCTTCTCCTGTGTGGGGAATTATCCCTTGAAATCACAAACAAGGACGCCCTTAAATGTTTATTCCATGAGTTTAATAATCCTTCTTTGCATTGTTTATAACATTAGTTGAAACAGACACAGGTATGATGCATGCCTTTTCAAATTAGGTGTTGGATTATTAAACTTTTCTGCTTTGTTTGATTTAGCCATAGCAAGTTCGTTTTCTTAGGTACTCATTGTCTTGTCATGGTCATGCTTCTTTTTCCAGGTTCATTGACAAATTCGGCACTCACATTATTGTTGGTGTGAAGATGGGAGGGAAGGATGTAATATATATGAAGCAGCAGCATTCATCATCACTTCAATCTGCTGATGTGCAGAAAAAGTTAAAGGCGAAGGCAGATAAGAGATTTTCAGATGCAAATGGACAAAATGGAATGGAATCTGAACAACTTTATAGGAGTGACAAGGTTTGTTAAAAACTAGTTGATGCACGAGGACTTTTTCGTAGACCATTTGAACTATAATTTTAGTTTTTCTTTTTTAAAATGTATTTATCCATTTATTAATAAGCCTCAATAATCTAAATTTTACTAGCCAAGAAGCTTCATTTGCTTGGACCTTAAAAATTTTCATAACCATAACACTAAACAAATTACAAATTATTAACTTACAATTAAAATTTTTGAAAACCTTAACCTAGTGCATGCAAATTTAATCGGAGGGACTAGTTTTGTTAAAGATACAGTTTTTCAGTGTTTAATCTATCAAACAGATGTTTGTTTTTGATGACATGGCTGCCTGACAGAAGGATCTCTCTGCTCTGTTGTTTTTGTTGGGTCACATGTTGGGAAGTTGATGATTATACTGTCAGTGTAATTGCGCATGGTGGAGAATTACGCCAAAACAACGCGCCCCTTGGCTTACAGACTTTAAGGAAAAAAAATAAAGAAAAGAAAACAAAGATGTGATATATGCTTTTGATGCACATTATTGTACTTTTTGTGGTACATTGTTTCTTGTCTGTTGCATAATTTATACTTTGTCATGTCCTGTTGAAGTTTGATAAAATGTTACATGATAATATGAATTCTGGTGGCGCTATGTGTTTGTGCAATGAATTTTGTGAAGCAAATGTGGGATCTATGCTTTATGGAGGTGGATGACGCACAAGGGATTAGCTTGACCAGTGTATAGCTTCTGCTTACATTTGGAAGTGGATTACCTAGAATCTGAGTTCTTGAGGATTCTCTGAACGCCACCAGCTTTAACGTTGTAACGAGGAGAGTGAGAGTTGTGAAATGTAATAAAAATGCTGGGACTTTTCCAATATCTTCATAGAAAGTCGTTTGGTTATCCAAAAAATAAAACAAAATTTAGAAAATGAGTTGTGGAATCTTAAGACCTGATATGCACCTGAAATTCTGATGAGGTGCTCTTTTCATAAGCCTCTCAGTGAAAATCCAGAATTTTGTTGATGTCTAATTGTTCAATGGAGTTTGTTGGATCATGAGCTGGATGATCAATTTTTCACTCAATTGCATTATCGGTGTTTTGCCCTTAAGTGACTAAACCCTGAAGAGGAAGACTCCATGAGGCCTTAACTACTTTATGCACCACAGATAATTGACAGTTTTCCTTCACTTGCAATAGGGTTCTTACCCCCCTTTCTCTGTTAGTTTGGTTGGACCATTCAATGATTCAAATTATTGCAAAGCAAAACAAAGTGAACTATCCTCTTCCCACATAACCACCACAGCATGTTCAGCTAATGTTGTCAGCATCACACTATATAGAACATTTTGGGTACTCATCATTGGATCTCCTAATTATGAGCCATGACTGGTGAACCAAAACTAAATGGCCTGAAGAAAGGTGATGCTCATGGAATAACTTCTGTGGAAAAGGACATAAGTGCAATTGGAAAACATACATTAGTCAAGTTCATAGATTTTCTGTTATTTTTTTCTGTTGTCTTGCATCCACCAGCTATGTTAGCTTGAGGGAGGTGCAGGTTCAAGTCTCCGTTGGACTCGGTTGCATGTGCATTAGTTATTAATGTTATATTTCCCTCAGTGGTTCATGCCTTCTGGTTGGAAATACCTTCGTGATAAAATGAACACAAGTTTAGTTAATTTTGCTCATACCTTTTGGTTAAAAGCACCTTTAGTGTTTGCATTGCAATCCTGTTGATTTTTTCCCTGCTGGTCACTAAATTAATTTGATATTGTTAAGGCTATTTGAAATGTTATATGAGATGATTGAGCAGTAATGTTTGCATATCTAATGGGTTTAGTTTCTTGATGTCTTATCTAATCATTTTGTTTCAGTTTGAAATCAGGGAGCAGCGGCTGAGGTTTGCAGATATCAGCCCTTCAAGTTCTTGTTCATACAAGGAGGTATGCTCTAAGAATACTGTTATGTCCTGGTTGAATTGCTCTCTCTCAGGGTTTTGAAGAATCTATGTATGATGTTACTGTTCAATTACAGGATGTCGTAAGCATTTGCAAGAGGAGGGGTGGAAGCGATAACAGAAACCTAACCCATAATGATTGGTTGCACACAGTGCAGTTAGAGCCTGATGTGATCTCAATGTCCTTCATCCCAATAACCTCTCTGTTGAATGGTGTCTCAGGCAGCGGGTTTTTGAGCCATGCTATAAATCTCTATTTGCGCTGTGAGCAAGATTGATTCATCTCTTGGTGTACTCTGCTCATTTTGTTTTTTATAAATGTTACATTCTTGGTTCAACGAGGTTTCTTTTTGTGTCTCATGGAATCACTTTACTTATTCCATATATATGAAGACAATAATAACATTTTCTTGCGAAAATAAAAGGGGAGGGGGTGTTGAAATCTTCAACTACTGACCATTAGTTTATGTGTGAGGAACTCCCATGGATACATCCAGAGCTACATGCTGGTGGTGATTCTTGCATAGTTTACGAACTTAAAATTTAAAACAGAAACATCAGCATGGTGAAGGGTTTTGGACATCTAATACTTCTGCCGAACTACGTGGTTAATTTTTTCTTATTTCAAAGTACATCTAATAATTCACAAACTGACATCTTTCTGCCCCTTGGCTTCTGTTTGCAGATAAACCACCAATTGAAGAGCTCAATCAGTTTTTGGAATTTCAGCTGCCGAGGCAGTGGGCGCCTGTTTTCAGTGATCTTCCTCTTGGTCCGCAGCGGAGGCAACATAGCACACCGTCTTTACAGTTTAGTTTCATGGGTCCCAAGCTTTACGTGAACACCACCCCGGTAAAGCTTCTGTTGTTTGATATAATATCTTCATTGGTTGTTCCCACTTTGATCAATGCAAATTGTGCGGTGATTTTTCATTTTGAGTTGGATTTTGTCTATCAACTCTGTGGCTTAGCATCTCTTAGGCATTAATAGTGCTGCAAGATGTTTCATAGGGAGAAATCACGAATCTGTATGTAAATGTTAATCAGTGAAGTTTCATGAGTTTTGGATGGAAAAAATCTTAAATCATGGAGGAAGGGACACTAAATGAAACATCTGGGATTTTCGTCTTTGAGAGGACCCTAGAGGAATAGATTTTTGATATAGGAAAAAGAGAAA